TGGTTTAAAGTAAAATCATGCACAAGATCTCAAGATCATACTCTCTGCCCTTTATACACTTTCAAATACTTGACACTTTTTTGAAAATTTTCCTTTCTGATAAAGGATTTTCCTTGCCTCCAATTAACCAAAGAACTTTGTTTAGAGAAAATATGAGGAGAATCTGTTTATTATTTTGCATGGATCAATAAAAAGAAAAAAACCTTTCTGCATGAATAAAAGATATGTTGGCCAATATGCGACTCAAAAACTCCTTACATATATCAAATTCAACCTTTCTGCCCAATTAGCCAAGATGTACCTTAAACTCAAATTTCTATTATTTTATTGATTGTAGTTTCCAGTGAAATAGAAAAATATATTTAAAATAATGGCAATCAGTATACTCTAACTGAAGTAATGACATCGATTACAATTCAGTGGAAAAACAAACTCAAGAACTATTCCAAAAGCTAGTAAACTAAAATCGGGGGTTCCTATTATATATATTTATTATTATGACTGTCATGCCACCTTTTCTGAGTCCTTGCCATTAATCATACTATCATACAATACAATAACTATCTCTGCTTCAACTGCTATAAACCTGAATTGCAGATGTTTTTATCTTCTGTGGAAATACCCAATTAAGTACATAACAACGTAAAAATAAGAATCTTTCTTACTTTCTATTTTCAAAATAAGGAATATAAGAAAACATAACTGTAACACAAAGGCTACAAGTTTAAATATTAGGAAGCCAAAAAATACAAAAGATCAAATGATTCCAGGTTGAATTTCAAGTGCCTGTATTACACCTATAAAATTAACCTCTTAGCTATACTGTTAATCTTACCTTCCTCAAGCACAGGCTAAATTTTGCCTGAGATTATTAATATATAACTTCAATTTCTGGGTACGACTGAGCCATGTGAGAAAGGACGTCAGCAAGTGACAAAGGATGAAACTGTCTTATTTTCTGGTTCTGGAGGGTTTAAATGTTTATCTGTAGGGTTGCAATAGTATTGTTTTAATGATTACAGTATATGCATCACAGTAACACTCCTGGTCTTACAGAGGTCACTGGAAAGCCTTTTGTCAAAGGCCAGAATGTAATTTTTTAAAAAGATGCATGATTAAATGTTACTAAGTAAGAACAGCAACCCCTGTATTTAAGTTGCCTAATACATCTCACAATTAGAAGGAACTTCTTTTTTTGGAAAATTTTACCATCCCTATTATTTTTTACAGGCCTTCACTATTCACAGGGAGAAATCTCTCATTTTATGGAAGTTCCTTGCTTCTGTGCCACTGAATTCAACCCTATGACTTCCCCTCACCCGTATTTCTCAGGAAAAATGTGGACAGCCTACCTACACCCCCGAGCATTTTAAGCACCAAGCCCACAACTCCCTTGTAACACTCAAACGGGAATGCTGAAGAGCTGATTTATTAGTTACATCAAGGGGAATTAGGCTATTCTTGATTCAATACTTGATCCAACGCTTGATTCGAGTCTAGTCTTCCAGATTCAGTACAGGCTAATGGCAGCTTGTTTACCTGCTGGCATGACAAGAGGATAGGCACTCCTCTAATTATAACCACATGGAGAGAGAAATAACTAATTACACAGCTGAGCTGGCATTCCCAGGAGCCAGCATCTTACTTCAGCTCCGGAGCACTAGCTCTCCCAAACTCCAAATAAAGAGAGAATACTCGTCAGGAACCCAACCACGATCTCCAACCCCAGGACATGGATCTAGCTGCCAACGCTCTTCTCTTGGGAATGGGCAGGAATACCTCCCATCTCCGGATGGAGACGAGGGACAGCCAAACCAGTCTTCTATTCTCTCCTGTATACCCATCATATGACACCAACATTTCAATAACCTCCTAGGGAATAAACTTTCTTCTGTGGCTTGCTAGTTAGCCCTGCATTTCAAGCGGCTGAAGACAATACAAAATGCTCTGGGTTCAAATTTGGTTTATGACAATAGGGTATATAAAATAACTTGCTCTCTAAATAAATATTAAATGGGTACATACAAAAGATGGTACTAAAACCAAATAAAACGAAACATTCTTTAGACTGCTGACACAATAAATTTAGGATTAGTAAGCACTATTTTATGGTTGTTCATACAACTGATTTAGTCATATGAATACACATTACGACCTTTAATGACACAATCATATGGTTTTGCTCATTCACTTCACAAGTTAAACATGAAAAGGGCTGAGTTAAATTCTCAGGGAACTGTAAAGTTTCCATGCCTTAACTATTGAGCAGAGGATTTTGCAACCTAAATAACACTGTTTTAATGTATTTTTACATGAATATACCCTTTGTTTCCATATGTACAAATATCTTTTTTCTATAATAAACCCTCAAAATAGAAGGTGTCATGATCTTTAACAACATGGTTGCCTATCCTTCTCCTTCTCGTCCTCTGCGTGACTTGTCGGGCTTAATTCTGTTCCTAGGCAAGTATGACCCCCTGCTGAGGTCAATGGGACTGGATATGAATATTTGAGAGCAAAATTCAACTCTTACACAATGTCTTCTCTCTCCTGTAATTTATTTTGAAACGTATCTCCTATAAACTTAGTAATGTGATTATATCACCACTACACAGCCCTTTGCATCCATAAGACTGCCATGTAGAGATCTGGTTATATTTCCCCATGGGGAACCGGGAAAGAAGAGACTCATTTGCCTTCCTCTTCACATTTAGGAAACCTTGTGGACAAATACACCTTGTATGTAATGGTGCTGACCACCTGGTTCCCATCATTTATTCATTGTGGGGATACAAGCATCAGTGGTGGGGAAGGAAACTTTGGAGAGTTACCAATGAAGAGAGAAAAATCTTAAAACAAATGAAAATCCATTGTATACTGATATCCTCCGTCTTAACAGACACCCTTACATCATCAGTGTATAATTCATTTGGACGACTCTTTCCTCCCTCTTCAATGACTTATTAATGATCCATTCATAAGCCTTGAGGGTAAGAGCAAACAGGTGAGGAAGACATTGCATTCAAGAAGATTTTAGTACCAGCTCACCCACCTGAAACTTTCATCTTTATTCATTGTGTACCAAAAAATGAAAAACATGACTCTCCTGAGGCTTCAAGCTGAAACTCACTATCTATCTCTATGCTGTAAAATCACAAAGTACTTCCAAGTCAGCCTCCAAATCTATAAGCAAGTCATGACAGAATCTCATGGCAGCATCCCAGCTTGGGATAAGACTTGGGCATGCACAATTCCTCTGCTCCCTGGTATCCACAAGAAAG